GTCGTTCGCAATGCGAAAGTCCCGGTGTGAGGCCCGTTTGTGTCTGGGACACGGCGCAGCCCTGATGTCCCTGAGTTGGGGACTTTAGGTAAACCATGGTAGTATTTGACCTCTAAGACTTACCAGTTCTGTTTCCGTGCCGCGCTCATCAGCATCCCTGGGTATTCAGATTAAAGAGCGACTAAGATATCTGTGCAACAGGCCAGTTGCGGAACACGCGTACAAACTATTCATTTGTACTGTGGCTACTTAATAGTTATAAGTTGATGATAAGTTTAGTCAGATTTGAATAAATGACCTTAAAGAATGGACTTAATCATTATGAGATGCCTCCCCAAATTACTGGGCTTGCATTCTGGAGAACTGTACCACTGAGCTATGTCCCCACCCTTTTTTTTGAGGCGTCTCAGTGCCCCAGGCTGGCCTCAAACTGGAGATCCTCCTGCTGCAGCTTTCTGAGGGGCTGGGTGACAGGTGAGAGGCACCAGACCAGCGTCACAGCAGGGCTCGCACACCGTCTGCCCAGGTGGGGCTGCCACACCAAATTAGTGAAAGGAGCTCTTTCACAAGAACCAGAAAGCTGCATTCCGTGCTCTGCTAAGGACGACAGCATTTCTGCGGATGCTAGGGAGGCCAGCTAGCCCCAGAGGGAGGTAGACTGTGTTTTACTGAAGTAACCGAAGAAGAAACAGGTAAATTGGACCTCATCAGGAGCAAGAAAAGTGCTTGTGGAAGGACACTGTCAAAGTGAAAAGACACTGAACAGGCGGATCACTGTGAGGGTAGTTCAGTGCGAGCCGTGGAGCCCCGAGTCTTGGGTGGCCTGAGCATCAGTACCCCCTGCAGCTCTCAGCAACACCCTCACATAGAGAACTGAATCTAGAAATAGGAAATACCCTAAAAGGAAACAGAGTAGGGTACCATATGAGATTACATTGCCATCAACTTTCAAGGCATAGACTCAGTGAATCAGCCTTTCTTTCTTAAAAGGGTCTTGCTACGTAGTTCAGGCTGGTCTTGAACTCACTATGGCTGTCCTCAAGCTCCTGGTGATCCTGCTGCCTCTGCTTCCTGAGTACTGGGATAGGCAGCAAATACGAAGAAGGAAGAGAAGGGTGTAGCTCAGAGGCAGACCACTTGTCTAGCATGTATGAGGCAATAGGTCCAATCCCCAGCATCACTAAAGAGTTAAGAAGGAAAATATGCTGGGCATGGTGGCACATACCTGTAATCCCAGCACTTGGGCAGCTGAGGCAGGAGGATCCCAGTGAGTTCCGCCAGCCTGCACTATACAGTGAGACTGTTTCTCAAAAAAAGTATGTAAGGGCCAGTGAGATAGCTCAGAGACTAAGTGCCTGCTTTGGCAAGAGGGTTGACAGAGCTGCAAGGTGGGACTAGTCCAGTAATGAGTGAGTGCAGGTGGAAAGGAGTAGTCAGAGTAGTTCAGTATGAGCTGTGGAGCTCAGAGTTGGGCGGTTCGATCCCTGGTCCCATATACCACGCTGGCCCCTGCTCCCAGGGTGTGCTGAGCCCACAACTGAGTCCAGGCATGGTGGCACAATGGTGCAAGCCTATAATCCTAGCACTGGGGAGGCTGCAAACAGGATCACTACAAGTCCAATCTACGATTTACATAGTGAGACCCTGTAGACCCTGTACTAAATACAAAGAACAAAAAAAAAAGCTTTAAAAAAATTAATATAGCCAGGCATGATGTGGCGCACCTATAATTCCAGCATCGGCAGCTGTGGTAGGAAGACTGCTACAAGTGCAAGACCAGCCTTAACTACATAGTGAGACCCTGTCTCAAAAACCCAAAAAATTAATAAGTAATCCTGTTGGGCTGGGGAGATAGCTTCATGGTCTAAGTGCCTTCCTGGCAAACACAAAGACATGGGTTTGATCCCTGGTACCACATGTGCTGGCCCCGCCCGGGGCACACTGAGCAGGCTACCAACCGGGCATAGTAATCCCAGAACTAGGGAGGCTGAGACAGGAGGATCACTACAAGTCTGAGCTGTGTAGTGAGACCCTGTACCAAATACTTTGTTTCTTTATTTTGTATTTTTTAGTAAGGTTCTACAGGGTCTACAGGATCTCACTATGTAGATTGGACTTGTAGTGATCCTCCTGTTTTCAGCCTCCCCAAATGCTGGGATTACAGGCATGTACCACCACACCCAATCTCAATCGCCGCCTCAGTGTGCTCCAGGGGCAGGGCTGGCATGGCACTCCAGGGATCAAACCCCAGTCACTGCGTCTGCCTGAGCAGGTGCTTTAATCTGCTGAGTTATTTGGTCGGCCCCTGTACCAAATATATTAAAAAAAAAAAAAAAATCCTGTTTCTGTAAAGGATTCCATCTGTCCACCTATGTACGTGGAAGGGACATGCACAGGTAGGTAGCAAGCTAGAGTCTGGAACAGCCCTGACTTAACAGTCATCATGTGGCTGGTGGAACTTGAGGAGCAGACCAGAGTCCATTTGAGCCAGACATGGTGGTGTGCGCCTGTAATCCCAGCACTTGGGAGGCTGAGACAAGAGGATCATTGCAAATTTGAGACCAGCCAGGGTGACAAAGCGAGCTCAAGGCCCGCCTGAGCTGCATAACAAGAGCCTCTCTCTAAAAACACCAAAAAAAAAAAAAAAAAAAAAAAAAGACCAGAGTCGGTTTGGAAATGGAAACCACACTGCTGGGGCTGCCGAGGAGGTGGTGAGAAGCTGGGCGCGTGGAGCTGATCTCGTGACTGTGTCATCGCAGCCACAGGCAGTGAGGCTCAGAAGTCTGTGTCTAGCGCTTTCTGGGCATCCTGTGGCCACTGAGGCTCACTGCTACACAGCCGGCTCACGGGCTTTTGGGCCGGGCAGCTGTGAGCTGGTGCAGGTCAGTTACAGGTGCGCCTGTTTCTGCATCGACCAGATGGCCCAGTCTCTCAAGGACCAATTGAGTGATGAGTGCAAAACACTACAGTGTCCAACACACCCCAAATATTCAAATATTATTACATGGTCATTCCTTCAGGTTTGTAACAGTCTGGAGTGGCAAAACTGTCTTAGTTTTTATCTTTTAATTGTTAATGTCCCGACCCGCAGATTAGTCAACGAGGACCCTAGAAGGGGAGTGGGGATAAGAAGGGACAGGAGACACAAAGAATGGAGACAAGAGGGGCTGGGGAGATAGCTCAGTAGAATAAGTGCTTGCCTGGCAAGCGCAAGGGCCTGAGTTCAATCCCCGGTTCCAAAAAAAAAAAAAAAAAAGAATGGAGACAAGACAGGATTCTGATCAAGTCTCGTTTATTCAGGGGAGGTGCTGGGTATATATAGGGAGTGTAGGAATGAGGAAGTCTCAGCTCTTGGGGGTCAGCAGGTATCTAGGCAACAAGGGAAGGTGCCACCCCTGGGGCATAGCAAGTGATTCACGGGGAATGTGCAAGGTGGGAAGGACCAGAAACTTAGCTCAACAGGGGAATAGAAACTTAAGAAAACGGCTGACACTATTATAAAATGGATACCACTTAATGGCTTCCCACAGGTCCCCCTTTTTACTTTAACTCCAATGGCCGTTACTCCTTGAGGGGACTGTGCCTGTCTTGGGTCAAGATGCTTTCACATGGGGCTGAACCAGACCTTTCCCGTCATAGGAAAGCAGGGCAGTGGAAGGCCCAGTTCCTGTCTTAGGTGGCGGTGGGTACCGCATGTGAGCCTCTAATTGTCCGTCTCTGGCTATCCAGTCCATCGCACCAAGGTGAGAAAATCTCTTTACCTGGATCGGGCATCATCACAGTGTACTCTTTCGAGTTCAGCACAACTTTCTCTGTCGGCCATCTCAAGCCTATGGTAATGGACCTGTATGGGTTGCATTTTAAGGGCATCCAATCGTTGTTTAATGAAAGTGATCAGCCTGTTGAAAAGACAGGGTCCTATTGATAAAAATATTAATAGTCCAATCAAGGGTCCCAACAGGGGGAGAAGGTAGGGTAGTACTCCATTCCATGCGCTCCAGAAAGGGTTTTCAAATAGCTCTCTTCTCCTCTTAATAAGATCTTCTTGAAGTCTCTTTATTTTATCTCAAACAGTACCGGACTTGTTTGCGTAGAAGCAGCAGCATTCCTGTAAAGCCAAGCAGATCCCTCCCTGCTCTGCTGTTAGAAGGTCTAAGCCCCTCCTATTTTGCAAGAGTACTTCTGCTAATGAACCTATCTGGTCTTGGATAGTACCAGACAGTGTTTGAACATCATCCATCAGCTGATTAGATAATTTGGTATAAGAATGTACTGCTACTCCCAACCCTGCTGTGCCTGTCCCCAGGGCTCCTATAATTCCCAGTCCTACCAACAAAGGGATAAGCTGAACTGCCTTTTCAGTGTGGCCCGTGAAGCTTCCCACATGTTAACATCAGTTAGAAATCTTGTAGCTTGACAGTTCACAGTAGCTAAATTTTGGAAACAGCCTATATCTCCATCAACAGATGAAATAGTTCGTAAAATGTACTTTCCCTCAGTCTAGTACTATTCTGCCATAAAGAAGGGTAAACAAGTCGTTCGAAGAAAGGTGGATGCACCTTGAGGTCCTAATGCTGAGTTCGGTAAATTAGACACACAAGGTTAAACAGCACATGGTTTCTCTTTTAGGAAAAGCCCAAAATATAAAGAAAGAGCAACATGAAAGATACAGGAAAAAATGAGAATGGAAGGAAGAAGGGAACATAAGAATGTGCTCGTGTCCACGCACCAACTGGCTGCAGCGAGTTTTGCAGTCATGGACTGCAGACGTGCTAACGGGAGAAGAGAAACCCTGTGGCCTGGACTCAGTTTAGTGAAACAGACATTTGAGCGTCTATGGCGGAGGCGTGGTGCATTGGGCAGACACAATAAGGAAGGAGAGGCGGTTGTGGTCCTTAGAAGCGCGTCTCTTGGGGCTGGGGACACAGCTCGGGCACAGTGCCTGCCTGGCAAGCACCAGCTGGTGGATTGGATTCGGGAGAGTTCGCGTGTGGCCGGCCATGCGCACGCTCATCCGTCTGGTGGAACTTGAGGTGCAGACCGCAGTCCATCAGGCTGTCGCCCTTCCTTGGTCCGGGCCGCTCGCGGACTCTCGGGTGTCCCTCCCGTGGCCGCCGTGCCGCGTAAGCCACAGCACACGCGCACACGTGTCTCCCGGCCGCGCTCTGCGGCTGTCTCCGCGTCTGGGCCGCTCCCGAGGCTGCTGGCCGGCGTCTGCGCGGCGCACCACGCCCCTTCTTCATGTGAATTTTGGATGTCACGCTAGCCGAGGACACTGTGCTAAGTGGCACAGATGAAATAAGGCAGCCACAAAAGGATGAATACCGTTTAATTCTATTTTTATAAGTTACTGATTGTAGTCAAAATTATGAAAACGAACCTGGTATGGGCTGCACACGTGTAATCCCAGTGCTTGAAGGCTGAGCAGGATGGTCTGTAGTTTGGGGCTGGCTTGAACCATACAGCAAGACTCTTAAAAAAACTCACACAAGCAAAGACTTCCTAGGGGCTGGAGGCTGCGCGCACGCGGAGGCCTGTCCCTCAGTGGGTGAAGCGCCTGGCGGCAGGATGGCCAAGTCCTGGGGTGGGCTGTACAACCTGAGCCTGAAAGCCGGCGCGACTATGCCTAGGGCTTTTGAGCTGTGCATTTACGGACTGCTGGAAGAGCAAACTTCGTGTTGTCTGTTTTACCACAGTTAAAAATTTAAAACGCGAAGCCATAACAATGTTAGGAAAAAAACAGGGCAGTCTTATTTTTTTATTCTCTCAAAATGCGGGTAGATCTTGTAAGCACAAAAGAAAGGCCAAAATCTGAAAAATAAGATGCTTTAAAAAAAAAAATCCTCCTGAACTTTTGGGGGCCTGCCCATTAGCTCAGTTGTTTCAGTGCCTGCTTAAGCAAAGGCAGGCAGGCTCAGGATACTCTGGTTTGATCACCAGATCCTCATGCTTGCCAGACCTGCCCTTAAGGCATCCTGAGCCAGCCCTCTCCAAAAAAAAATCCTTCGAAAAAATAAGATACTAGTAACATTATGTAAAATAATGTTTTTAAATGGTATAGCAGGAGAAAACAGGTATGGAGTATTTGGAATCTCATAATGTCTTCATAGCTCTTTTATTAATCTAAAACTCTAAAAAATTAAGTGTATTAAAAATGCTATTGGGCCTGGGGAGGTGGCTCAGTAAAAGCGCTTCCCTGGCAAGCACAAGGCCCTGAGTTCAATCCCTGGTTCTGCAAAAAAAAAAAAAAAAAGAAAGTTATATGATAAAGACAGCAATATGCAATGTATTCATGGTCGGCACTTCTTTTCCTTTCTGTAAATTATCACACATTTGGCCCCTTAACATCTGGGGCTGGAGGGAAAGTGTGCAGGTGTGCTTCTCAGGTGTAGGGCTCTCTGAGGGAAGATTTTTTTTTTTTTTTTTTAGGAACCGGGGATTGAACTCAGGCCCTTGTGCTTGCCAGGGAAGCGCTTATCCCACTGAGCCATCTCCCCGGCCCCTGATGGAAGAATATTAATTGCATTCACTATTGAGGGGTCCTAACCTGTTTTGAAACTGTCTCATTGCTATTTCTTTCTCAATAAAATTAATAAAAAATTGTATTATAAGAAATCCATGGGGCTGGAGAGATGGCTCAGTGGTCTAAAGCACCTACTTGAATCAAGCTTGGCAAAGCACAGGGACCACGGTTCGATCCCCAGCACCACATGCCAGCCAGCCCTGCCCCCTGGTGGGCTGAGCTGGCCACACACACACACACACAAATAAATAAAATTAAAAAAAAAAGAAATCCAGACATAATCAAACAAAAAATTTACAGTTCAAATAGACTGAGCATCTCTTATAGCATATAAGGAGCTGTATATAAGTAACTACATACATTATGAAGAAAAGGACCAAACAGAACAATAGTAAAGAGCATAAATGGAGGAGGAAAGACTCATTTACTTATTCACCTTTGTACAGGGTCTCACTACACAGCTTAGACTCAGTGACCCTCTTGTTTTCAGCCTCCCCCGCAGTTGGGATAACGGGTGCGCCACCACACCCGGGCTGTTGCTGGCTAGCGTGCCCCAGGGGCCGGACTGGCGCAGCATGCGGTACTGGGGATCAAACCCCAGTCCCTGCTGTTGCCTACACGTGCGCTTAGTCTGCTGAGCTCTCCTGCCAGCCCAATACTGATGATTTTATACAGCATCAGAGAAACGGAAGTTTAAAATAATGCATATATCACCGTTTTGCAGCCCCTACTGTGGAATAATTTCTGGAATTGTTGTGCTCACCAGAATTCTGTGATTACAGAGATGCCTGTGCAAGCACGTGCGCCGTTGTGTGTGGGCCCAGGGCTGAGTCTCACTGTACCCCTCCTTAGGTTGTGCCGCAGTGCTGGTGGCCCCAGGCAGCCATGCTTGACCCTGGCAGACCTGACCTAACCACAGCAGCCCTCTGGCACCATTCTCTACTACTGGTTGAGAAGAGAAATTCAGACTTGGATCGCTGCACCACTGCAGGCAGAGCCACGGGTCAGGGAATGCGGCTGACCTCTAGAAACAGCTGATGAGCAGAGTGGAGTGTTGGTTCTGCACAGAGAACTGCATCGGCTGCGAGAAGGTGCTCAGGAATAGACACGCACATGCACACACACCACACACAGACAAAGGCACACATGTGCACACACCACACACGTCCCACACACAGACACGTTTGCACATGTACGTGCACACACACACACACGAACCCCAGGTAAAAACTCAGCACACTGACCTCTTGATTTTGGCTTTATCCTGAGCAGAAAACATAACCTGATTTCTGAACTGCAAACTAAGAAACAATAACAGTGGGTTTCTTTTTTTTAACAACTAGTTTTTAAATTTTATTTTTAAGGGTTTAGCTCAATGCCAGAGCATGTACTGGACCCTGGGTTCAACCCCAGCACCACAAAAACAAAAGATAATAAAAATATATGTTTGAGATAAAATTCACGATTTTAACCATTTTAGAGTCTAGATTTCAGTGGATTTTTAGTGTATTTGGAATCCTGTACAATCGTTGTTACTTGGTAATTCTGGAATATTTTCCATTGCCTCAAAAATAAACCTCGTACCTTGTAGGTTCTCCTTTTCTCCACTGGCCTGGTAACCAGTCATCTGTTCTGTCTGTGTAGACTTCCCTGTTCTGGACATTTCCTACAAGTGGAATCGAATGCGATGTGTCCTTCCAGGTCTGGCACTTTTAGTAGGACATTTACAAGGTCCCTCATACATATTACGGCATAGATCACTGTTCCACTTCTGTTACCCTTTCACTATTGATGGGCATCTGGGTGCTTGCTACCTTTTTGGCTATTATGAA